GGCCCTGCATCCAGAGATCTTGGGATCTAGCTCTGCCCACCAGTGAGCTAGCACTAGCCCTGGGACCCCCTGGACCTCAGCCCCACCCACCAGTGGTAAGACACCAGCTCTGAGACCCCAGGGCCCTGCAGCCACAGATGCCAGGACCTGGCATTCCTGGAAGTGGCCACTAGCCCTGGGACTCAACTTCACTGATTGGTGGCTGGGCACCAGCCCTGGCATCTCTGGGATCCCCCACCCACCAGTGGGCAGACACAAGCCCCAGCCTACCTTGGCAGGACACAGCCAACATATCAGGAGGCTAGCACCAGTCCCAGGAATCCCCCAGGCCCTGGCCTTCACTGCCAACTGGCCAGCACCATCTCTGGGACATCTTGGGCCCCTCAGCTAGTGGACTGACACCAGCTTCTGGGCCCCCAGGGTTCTGTAAGCAGAGAACTCAGGACGTGACTCTGTCCACTGGACATCAGCTCCAAGATACCGTGGACTCCTCAGCCAGCTGCCCCTGGATCCAGCTGCACTCACCAGCACCAGCTTTGGGATACCTCAGAACCTGCAGTGATCTGTGTCAGGAACTGGACCCACCTACCAGCGGGTTGACACTAGATCCAGGAACTCTGGCCTCACAACCATCCATCCCAGAACCTGGCTTTGCCCTCCAGTGAGCCTGTTCTAGCCCCAGAACCACCCCCCTCACCGGGGTTCCAAAGCCAGCTACCTCATGGCTCAGCCCCAACAACCAGCAGCCGGCAGCCTCCACCCAAGGCAAGGCCTGGCAGCCAGCTGGACCAGGGGCCAGTGACACCAACCAGACTGCCCACAGTAGTCAGCCAACACAGCAGAAAGACCCAGGCAACCACCCAAGAGGCACCCCTAGAGAATACAGCTCTCTGGTGGCCAGAGGGGAGTGCACGGCAGGGACTCATAGGACATTTTCTATAAAAGGCCACTTCTCCAAGGTTGGGAAATATAACCAACCTACCAGATACACAGAAATAAAAACAGCAAATTAGGTAAATGAGGCACCAGAAGAACATGTTCCAAACAAAAGAACAAGATAAAACCCCAGAAGAACTAGGTGAAATGGAAACAGCAATCTATCTGGTGACGAGTTCACAGTAATGCTCATAAAGCTGATGGAAGAACTCAGGAGAAGAATGGATGGACACAGTAAGAAGTTTTTAATAAAGATTTAGAAAATATAAAGAACCAAATAGAGTTGAAGGATACAATAACTGAAATTAAAAAAAAATACACTAGAAGGAATTGATGATAGATCAAATGATACAGAGGAGCAGCTCAGTGAGCTGGAAGACAGAGGAGTGGAAATCACTGAAACTGAACAGGAAAAAAAAAAGAAATGAGGACAGTTTAAGAGAACTCAGGGAAACATCAGGTGTACTAACACTCACATTGTAGGGATCCTAGAAAGAGAAGCGAGGGGGCAGAAGACATATTTGAAGACATAATAGCTGAAAACTTTGGGAAAGGAAACAGACACCCAGGTACAGGAAGCATGGAATCCCAAACAGGATCAACCCAAAGAGGACCACACCAAGACATGTGGTAACTAAAATGGGACAAATTAAAGATAAAGGGAGAACATTAAAAGTGGCAGGGGAAAAGCAACACACCACACGCAACGGAACTCCCTAAGGCAACCAGCTGACTTTTCAGCAGAAACTCTGCAGGAGAAGGGAGTGGCACGATACATTTAAAGTGATGGATGGGAAAAATCTTCAACTAAGAATACTCTACCCGGCAAGACTCTTGTTCAGATTTGATGGAGAGAGCAAATGTTTCACAGACAAGCAAAAGATAAAAGAGTTCACCACCACCAAACCAGCTTTACAAGAAATGTCAAAGGAACTTCTCTAAGCGAAAAAGAAAGGGCTACAACTAGAAACATGAAAATTACAAAAGAAAAAATCTCATTGGTAAAAGTAAATATTACAGTTAAGGTAGTAAATCAACCACGTACAAAGTGAGTGCGAAGGTTCAAAGATAAAAGTAGTGAAATCATCTGTATCCGCAGTAAGCAGCTGAGGGACACACAAAACAAAAAGACAAAAATATCCTGAGAAATAATCATCGGGGGAGGGGAGTAAAAAATGCAGGATTGTTAGAATGCATCTGAAATTAAGAGATTAGCAACTTAAAATAATTATGCTATATATAAATCCCACAGTAACCAGGTTCTCTGATGCATTAGCTTTGAGCCTTAGGGCAAGTACCCTAACTGATACAGGAAAATGGGACATGAGAGAATGACCCTGTCCCAGATCTCAAGCGGGTCCCTGGGACACGCCCCAGGTGAGGGTCCTTGGCTTTGCACAGGAGAGAATTCAAGAGCGACCCGTAGGTGAGTTAAGGTAGGTTTACTTTGGGAGATGTACACTAGAGCGCAGGCCGTCTCAGAAGGCAAGAGAAAGGCCAAGAGGTGCGGGGTTGGGGGTTTAGTTTAAAGTAAAAGTAGATACACACTCCATAGACAGAGTGCGGACTGTCTCAGAAAGCAAGAGAGAGAGAGAGAGAGCGCGAACGGGACTGCGAGGCATGGTGTTGGGCGTGGTGTTGCTAGTTCTTATACGCTAACAAGTGAGGACTGTTGGAACTGCTATGGGGAAGAGGCGGGGATTCCCAGGAATTGGGCCACCACCCTCCCTTTGACTTTTCATGGTTAGCTTTCGGAACGTCATGGCACCTGTGGGGTGTCATTCCCCAAGCTAGTACATTACAGTGTGTATTATGAAGCTCAAGGTTCACTGGGGGGCGAATCTTCCGCCATCTTGGGTCTCCACGTCTGTTGGGAGTTGACTTTTCCACCATCTTGGTGCTAATTGCTGTGTCATTCCTTTAATGGCTGTTTCCTGCCTCCTTCCTGTCTCATCACCTCTCCGAACCTATGTTTTCATCTTCAAAGTGAGTATAAAAATAACCAAAATTTGGAACACCCATTGTGCATTTTACAAATCAGTATTTGTTCAGGTACTGAGTGCCAACTATATGCCTGGCATCATCTAGACGCTGAGGATATAGAAATAAAGACATAGTCTGTGCCTTCAGTAAACCCAGCCTAGTAGGGGAGGTGGGCAAATAAAGCAACACGTAAGGTGAAAAGTATCGTGGCCAAGGTGCCTCTGGTCATTGCTGGAGTGCAGAGCGGAGAGCAGAGATGGGGAGTTAGGGGAGGCTTCCTGGAGGAAGAGCCACTTGAGGCTAACCTGAAGGATGAGTAAGAGCCAGGTGAGGAAGGTGGGGGGATGAGGGAGGAAGGGAGAGGCATCCAGAGAACTATGGATGATTTGGAAGGTTGAGTGGACATGTGGTTATGTATTCAGAGGTTTCAGAAGATCAGGACATAGAATCTATGTTCAGATCAGGACATAGAATCCATCAAGGGCCAGATCACAAAG